AGTCGACTATCAAAATAATCGTTTGTGGCAGGCCTAAGTGTGCCAAATCATTTTTTGACTGTGATTTTCGAGGTGTCTTTGAATTCAGTCCTCTTTATATTGATTATTTTAATTTCCATCAAACACTGCAGCATCCTTTTGTTTCTAACACATTATATATCCATATCAGTACTTTTTTGAGCAGTGTAAATGACCTTGATAAGAATGAAAAGAGCTGTATAAGTCATACCTGTGTTTGGGGGTTTTAAATCAGTGCAGTCCCCTTGATCACTTTGTTTGGAAGGTGTGTCTTGCTGGGTGGCAAACACAAGTGCCTGATCCTCCCCTGAGATTTTAGCACAAACACAAAGTATCAGTATTAGCTGGTCACAATCACACTACCACTTTACCATTATTTTAGTGGTAATACTGTGAAAGTTATTATAGTTCAACATTAGACTGATTATTGAAGCCATAATGTTTCATATTGTTTTGGGCAGCCAGACATGAGTCCCGTGGTCAAATACAAAAATATCTGAAGTGAAAAGTTAAGAACTGTTGAATTTAAACACAATAACAAAGGGTTTCATGCGTGCCTTAACATATTTATGACACTATACAGTGCTGATTGGCAAAAAACCCCAAAACAGTTTCTTCAAATTTGAAGGGTTATAATAACAATAGGTCAGCGGGGGAGCTCTAGCCCCTCCCTCACAGACACACACTATCTTGGTTGGCTGCTGCCTCTAAACATATTGTGCGTTGTCAGTCTTGTGTGCCGGTCAGTAACATTCAATATTTATTATGTACTGTTACTGTGTTGTTCTCTTTTTGCTTGTTTTTTGTTTTTCAGCAGCGATCAAACAGATTTTTAGTCTCGTTTCTCTCTGGCTCTTGTCTCCTGTCTTTTTCTTTCCCTCTCTTTCTGTTGAGTCTCTTTCCAACTTTTCTTTTCTTTGTCTTTCTCTTTCCCGTCTCCCAGTAATGTCCATGATTATAATAACTTAAAAGTAAAAAAATAAATACATCAATAATAAAGATCGAATAAACTGTGATAATCAAGTATAGCAAAAGCCGTATTGATCCACTTGGGAAAATAAATCTGTTGGGCATTTTTTGTGCCTACAGACAATAATTCTGATTGTTAGAGTGCTGGACAGGACCGGCGCAAACCCCCCCCCCAAAATAAAACCAACAACAAAAAAGCAAAAAACAAACTGCATGAGAAGCATTGAGGGACTCTACCTTGCAGTGTCAGGGTCAGAGGTGTGATCTGTCGAGCTGCATGTTGTGAGGCAGAATCGTTCACTCTGACTTCTGACGTATCCAAACTAGGGACAGACTCCACTACGCTGGCCTGGACCTCTTGTAGGACCTGGTTAAAGCCGATACTGGTGCTGGGAGGTTGAGTGTGGCTAGAATTGACGTTGGCTGGCTGTTTCACTCGGCTGGGACTGGACTGACTCATACAGCGAGCTTTTCCACTGAGGCTGCCCCCTTGAGTTTGTGTCTCTGTTGTCTGTGGAGAACAGTGAACGTTTGTTTCAAACTAGGCACAAAACTGAATGAGAGCTTTTTTAAAAATACCACAAGAATGCAGTTTAGACAGACAATCGTGGTCTGAACCAGACTGACAACAATCGCTCTAAAACAGATTGGAAACGATTTCTAAATACGACCTAAATATCCCCCAACACGGGAAAAAGCCAGTGCTTGTGATATCATGACAGTGGGGATAACACAGCCTGGATGAGGCGAGGCGGGTCAGGTGGGTTGGAACTCTGGATTATCCCTGATTTGTGTAGAAACCTCTAAAACTTTGAACATGCTGACGGCAACAGATGAGCAATTCACATGTCTGTATGACGATGGAATTTACAGCATGAGATAGTTGCTCTGTTTTTTTACTTTAACATCACATAGCATAACAAAACATAACATAACATGGTACAATAGCCCCCCACACGCCCACAACCCCAGTCCCAGCTGTCCAGCTAGCTTGTCATAATGAGAAGCCATAAATCCAATTCCTGATTGTGCAAAGGCCTACCTGCTTAAGTCTAAATGTGTTGTCTGGAATAGACGGTTTAAAAGATGGATTCCCTGCAATAGGTGTAATAGGGGATAGGGACTTCAAATTAAAGTGTATTTTAATCTGCTTAAGAATATGTATGGAGCTATGTATTACCACATTGCCATCATATATAGACTTAGGCAGAGGAGACAGCAGTATAGCTTCTATACAGTAAGGCTGACAAGCTTCCAGCTCCAGTTGCAACCATGTGAGGGGGTTGCCGTTGTCAACTAACCAGTATGTCATGAATTTTATATGCGAAGCCCAGTAATAAAACGAGAGATTCGGAAGCGCTAACCCTCCCTGCAAAGATGTTTCCCAGCAATTCTGTGTTTTATTGCCCCATTAAAAAGGTAAGATGAGTGAATTTAGGTTTTTAAAAACTGTTTTAGGAAGGAACACAGGGAGATTGTGAAATAAGTACAACCACTTAGGCAAAATTATCATCTTTATAGCATTAACTCTGCCAATGAGTGATATAGGAAGCGTATTCCAGAACTGTATACGTGACTGAAGCTCAGATATTAAGGGAGAGAAGTTAGATTTTAATAGAGAGGAATTGCTTTTTGTAACCTGAATACCCAGATAAGTGAGCTTTGCATAAGCTATACTGAATGGGAGGTTTTGCAGCCATGACGGGTTGCTCACATGTAGGCAGATTGATCCTGTATCCAGAGAAAGACCCAAAGAACTTAATTTTGTCTAATATGGCAGGAATAGTCTTTCCTGGTTGGGTGATATATAATAACACATCATCTGCATAGAGTGAGATTTTATTAGCAGTTGTATCAGTATTACAACCAAAAATAGTTGGATCTTTGCTTATGCTTTCAGCAAGGGGCTCTATTGCCAAGGCAAATATCAGTGGGGAGAGGGGCATCCCTGCTCTGTCCCTCTGCGTAAGCCAAAGGATGGTGATAGAAGCTGGTTGGTAAGAACGTGAGCATTGACATAAAGCAACTTCTTTCTTACTCAATTTAAATCTTTCTAATATTTTGAACAAATAGGGCCATTCAATCTGGTCTAATGCCTTCTCAGCGTCGAGTGCCAAACCTGCCAACTCTTCTTTAGGTCTGGCAGTGGAGGAAATCATGTTAAATATTAGCCTGAGATTAAAAGATGAATTTCTCTGGGGTATAAATCCAGTTTGATCTGGGTGTACTAAAGGGGGCTTAATCTATTGGCAAGTACTTTAGAGAATACTTTCCCATCCAGGTTTAGCAAGGAGATGGGACGATAAGAACCAGCATTCCTACCTATTTTACAAATAACAGTTATAATTGCCTCTGTAATGGTGGGAGGGAGGACTTTATCTACTAGAGTTTGAGCAAATGTTTTATGCAGGTAAATCTCACTAAATTCAAAGCTCAAAGTATATCTGCTTGGTGTACAAAAAGATTTTACTGATTTTTGCTGAGAGCAGATTATTATATTCATATTTTAAAGACAGTATTCTCTTATGTAGCATAGTGGATGGCGTTTAGGCTTTCTCTTTATCCAAATCTTTAATTTGTTTGTCCAAGTCAAGGAGCTTAGCCCGGTTTCTCTTCCTTCTGGCTGATTCAAAAGGCTTAGTTTCTGAGTTGCCATTTCCATCAATACAGAGAGATCTGTGTTTCTAAATATTCATGAAAATCCTTCTTGCTTAACAATAGAGGGTTAAGCCTCCATATTTGCTGCGGTCTAGTTGCATTTTAGATGATTTAGGTTAATGTGACAGGGGAGTGATCTGAGATGACAGTACAGTGGATGCAAAAGTATTCGGCCCCCTTGAAATTTCCCACATTTTGTCACATTACAGCCACAAACATGAATCAATGTTATTAGAATTCCACGTGAAAGACCAACACAAAGTGGTGCACACGTGAGAAGTGGAACGAAAATCAAACATGATTCAAACATTTTTTACAAATAAATAACTGCAAAGTGGGGTGTGCGTAATTATTCAGCCCCCTTTGGTCTGAGTGCAGTCAGTTGCCCATAGACGTTGCCTGATGAGTGCTAATGACTAAATAGAGAGCACCTGTGTGTAATCTAATGTCAGTACAAATACTAGAATAGAGTATAATAGTAATAATAAATAGAGCTGGGATATATCACAGCTGAGTTGGGATCTCAAATTTTTATGTCCAGCTTGGTTCAACTTTGCCAGATCTTTGGCAGAAAGTCAAAAAGCCTTCATGTGAGTGAAAACTGATGAAACCCATCTTTATATATTTTAAATTTCTTGATTTTATTAAATTTACAGAACTGAAGTAGCCTTGGGATCTGCCAACAATGATTCCTGCAACATTTTCAATCAATAACATGATAAATGATGCCCAAGTGACACTATTGTCCAGAGCTTTATCTATAAGTGAATGAGAGTTTAGTGTTGACCTCTAACCTGTGTGTCTTTGTGTCTTACCACGGTCTCACTGTGGGTGTGTTCTGCTGGTGTTAGTGCAAGTTGGTCCAGTTCGTCAGACTCCTGAAGACCTGTTCTCCTCTGCAGGGCGGGACTGCCCTCTCTGCTGCGAGGATGCACCTTCACAACATGACAACATGTCTTACATTCTGCACCACAGACAAAAAAAGCTGCTCACATTTTGCTGCTTTACAGTTGTTACTGCCGTACCTCTAGTTAATGTATTTTGTTTTGCA